CTACTTACTACTTGTACTATTCCTACTTCATGGTTTTTCACTTGTCACGGGGCTTCAGGGTATGGATGTGATAAAAGAGGGGCTACTGTATGTTTTTTTAGATTAGATGCTGAAGTCTTGTAAGGTGCCATCACTGTTGGAGCTCAAACAAAGTTTGCATCTGGACTCTGTCTTATTTTCATCCTCTGTATATGAAACTTTCCTCCAGGTACGACCACGGACACTCGTCCTCAGCCTTTATCTCGTCATTTTCTCTGTTGACATGTTGTCCTCTGTCTCCGGTTTGCCTTTTTCTCCAAATCTTTGGTCCATAAATGACTCTCTGCTCTATGGAGTTGTCCTTTGCTTACATCATAGATAATGATCTGAGAGCCTTATTGGCTACAAAGATGCACATAAATAGTTTGAATATTAATTCAAATTGCGGCCATACTCCGTAGCAACTTCTGATTTTAAAAGTAACGAAGTAGATTACATGATCTAAATTGTACTCGAGAATGAGTAAAATTACACATTCAAATAATCTACTTAATTACAGTAAAATATTTGTAATGTGTTATTTCCATCCCTGATTACGACACTTTTTTTACACATATAATTTATCTGACAGGTGTAGGGTTTGACTAAATTCATTCAGTTTTAAGAGTCCTGCATTTCAATACTTCATTCTGCTTCAACTTCTATCATTCTTACATTTAAAGTGAACTATAATCTCTGATTTTAGTTTCTTAAGGTTATCACTAGTCAACACGTGTTTATATATTTTTTAAAAAGTTCACAGTGCTTTAAAAAATTTATTGCATGCACAGATGACGGTGGTCTGTCCATGGTTTGACATTTCACACAGACCAGCCATAACAGTGTACAAAAATGTTTCAACAAATATATTAAATCGTATCTATACAGCAAATAAACAGTTCTGAAATAAACATCTATCAATGAAGTTTCAACTTATTTGTACAATATTAACAGATTCTAATTTACATTTGATAAAAAGAAACTTTTTTTTTAATTGGCTACAGTTCAAACAAGTTCTGACGATGACAGTGGCCTTTAACCTGACAAAACCATCTAAACACACACTATAAGGTTGTACACTGCGTGTTCCTAAACATTAAGTGCATACAAATTATTTTTCATATCTTTGTCTGGAAGGTTCTGTAGTATTTAATTTGACAGTTTATACTTAGATGAAAATGTCATGCTAAAGGATATTTAAAAAAATTTAAATCTAAAATGTTTGTCTAGATGAAAGACACTGGTTAATAGTCCAATTGTTTTGTTTGTTTGCTCAGAAACAGAAGTTAAAGTCCTTCAGCTGATTGTCTACAGCTCATCTAGACGAAAGGCAAAACTTTATATAAGCGGTTATGTTTTGATGCTGAATTTAGCACGAACGCCTGCAGTTATAACTCATACACAGACAAAATACAGTACAGCACTCACTCCATATAATCTAGTTCCTGCACCTACAATCTGTAATGTGGATAGCCTCATGTAAAATGCTGCACCTGAAAATAACGAAAAAACAGTCACCGTTCCTTCCATCTTCATTTCACATGACAATATTTAGTCTCTGGACTGTTTTACCTTTGGATTTACATCTGGCAAAAAAAAAAAAAACACAACATTGAAACTTAAAGACAAGAGTGTGTAAAGGATCAACTGTAATACTCTTTGGCTAAATCTAAGAAAACACCTTCTGCTGTCCTAACACTGAAGATTTCCGAAGGCGTCATAAAACCAGCCGGTGTCACAGAAATCACTTCACGATGTGCTGTAAAAAAAGATTGTAAAGGACTGTGCCAGAAGTTTTTTTTATTGTAAACAGTGTTTTGCAGGGTGCTCCTTTAGCTGTTTGTTTGCAGTTTGTGGCTGTCAGAGCAGCTTCATCCTGACAATCCTCTGCCATCTGTGGGAGAGAAAAGGAACAGCAGCAGCTTTGGGCCCACACATGTAAACGTGTTGATAAATGTGGCTCGAGGCTTCTGCTGTTGTTGCAGTTAAACCGCTGGCTTTGCAGCATTGATGTTGGATGCTCCCAGCTGATATGGATCAGACCAAATGTTGTGGATGCATGCAAACATCTCCTGCAGTCTTCCCAAGATGTGTCTTTTACATCTTCTTTATGGCTGTGCTGACAGCCTCTGATTGAAACGCTCCGTCTCGTGTTCATCAGGCCCTGAGCGGTACGAGATGAGACGGTGACAGGTTGATCCTTGGCAATTTGACAAAGTGGGTAGAACACAACAAAAGCTGGTTTTATTAAGAGCGAGGCTCCAGCCTGTGTGACAGTTCAAACAGAGTTTGCTGATTGTCGATGACATGAAGGTAATCGATGTACGCTCGAGCCTCTGAGCTGCTTTTCTGGGCGATTCCATTTCCTGGAATGAAAAGAACACGATAAAGTTGTAGCTGTAGAATCCACAAGAACTCTTGTACATTCATCTTTTTTTAGGCTTGATTAAAACTTGATGAAATTAAAAATAGACAAATGTTTCCATGCTCCTAATACTTTATTCAAATCAAAATTTGCACAAAATCCATCCATCCATTCATTATCTATTACCCGTTTCTTCCATTTTGGGTCACGGGGGTCACTGGTGCCCATGTCCAGCGGTAACGGTGTGAGGGGCAGGGGACACCCTGGACAGGTCACAAGTCCATCACAGGGACACATAGAGAGACAAACAACCATTCGCTCATTCACACCTAGGGACAATTTAGAGTTACCAATCAGCCTAACATGCATGTTTTTGGCCTGTGGGAGGAAACCGGAGTACCCGGAGAAAACCCACACATGCACGGAGAGAACATGCAAACTCCACCCAGAAAGACCCCGGACAGGGATTTGAACTGGGGACCTGCTCACTGAGAGGCAGCAGCTCTACCGTGCTTCCCTTGCACAAAATCAAAAGGTTACATTTTAAAAAAATAATTACTGTCTATTTTATAATGGATTTTTTTATGAAGAGTTAAGAAACAAATCTGCTTATTTAATTAAAAATCCTGCTAAAAAGTCAATAAATAAATAAAAAATCACACTGTTTAGCATCCAAAAGCTGACATGTTTTTAAAAACTTTATTCTGCCTCTTTAGCAGTTACAGTATAATATTAGAATGTTAGATTTATACAATGTCACTTAAACACTTAAATTAAGGTGTAAAATCCTAAAATAAGCAAATAATTCTAGAAAATACTAGTTCAAAGTGCATAATTCTCAATTTGGGTGAAGACCAGGGTCCCTATCCTTGTTGTAAGTCAAATTTTCTTCAATGGCACATAAAACATCTTAAAATCAGATTAGTTAAGTGGATACAACATTTAAATTAAGGTCTAAAATACTAAAAAATAAGCAAAAAATTCTTAAAATCAGCTTGTTCAAGACTACATAGTTCTCAGTCTCTTTCCTTGTTATAAGTTCATCCATCCATTTTCTTTACCCGCTTATTCCATTTTGGATCACGGGGGTCGCCGGTGTCCATGTCCAGCAATCACTATGCGAGGGACGGGGTACACCCTGGACAGGTTGCAAGTCCATCACAGGGCTTGCTATAAGTCAGGTTTTTTTTTTTTTTAAGCATAAAATAATTTTTAAACAGATTCCTCAAGGGTGGATACTCATTCTAAGAACATATTGCTTAAGAAAAAGCAATCTTTGCTCATAAGAAGTGCAATTTTCCTTAATTTTGGACTATTTAGTTTAGTTTAAAGGCAAACAGTAGATTCATTTGCTAGTTTTTAAATTTTGACCAAGCAAATTTTGCTTACCACAATTGGCAGATATTTTTTCGTCTCAAAATAAGAAAATTTGGTCACTTTTATGAATATTTGCTTATTTCAAGTGCTATTTTTGCAGTGTATCCTCGCAGCGGTACATTTTGGGCAACTTCAAACTTTTTGAGGATGTCATAAATGTAAATAGTGCTGGATTGGAGCAGAAAATGTCCTTTTTAACTTATCGATTTAACTTGGACATCACAAGTGTACTTGAATACTATTATTTTACATTCCAGCGTCCGACACAAGCAACTGAAACACTCACCCACGTGATCTTTCTGACACTGCCGGATGAGCCGTGCCATGTCTGCTATCATGTGCTGGAAACAAAAGTAGACGTTTGATCAAATGTTTAAATCCAGCACTTCTACACGTCTGTGAACAAACAAACAGACGGAAAAACCTTACCAGCTTCTCAAAATTGACCATGTTATCATGAAACGTTCTGTTGCCTTCATGAATGAACGTGATATCTGCAACAGATACACATTTTGTTTACAATCATCAAAAAGCATTTCAGGAAAGTGTTTCTTGTTGTCGGGTAATGAAGCTGCAGAACTGTGAGGAGACCTTTCAGGAGCAGAGGAAGAAAGGGAATCTTTGGAGCCTTCATCTTCTTGAAGGAGTCCCTGTAGGCCTTGTGGTTCAGTGAGGGATCCTGTGAAGAAATGTTCTAAATGAGTGTGATCCTCCAGAGATGGACATGTCTGTGCATGCACGCTGCATTAGAAGTGAAATACAGAAAGACTAGAGCAGAACGAGCAGATAAACCTCTGATGTTTTCACACATTCATTTGGATTAAGACCTTGCAGTGTGGATTAATGGGGATGTCTATAACATTAGCTGTTAAAAAAAAGTGTTATTTTTTACTGACTGAACACTTACTGTGACTGTCTCCAGCTCTGAAAACAGCTTTTTAAACTTTCCAGGAATTTTCTGCAGGAAAAAAGGTAAAACAAAAATCAAATAGTTGCAGTGTAATAGTAACAACAACGACAACAACAACAACAATAATAAACAGAATTTCTAACCTCCCAGGTCTGACTGAGGCGACCAATGGCTGCAGCATTCAGCCCCATAATGATGGCAAAGAAGCTGTTGAGGTTCCTTTGAGCTTTACAGCTGGAAAAGACCAACGAAGTAGATGCACTTTACAGTTTATGACACTAGAGGGCGCCAGAAGCCCTTTATGTTAAACTGCAAAGATGTGAGGAGGCAGTGGAAAAACAGCATGATGCCCATCAGTGAGTCATCACAGTGGAGTTGGATGTGAATAAAGCTACTAACTGAGCAGCAATCTTGATGAACTTCTTGATGAGTTGGACTCTTTTGCAGAGATTCGGGCACAGCAGCACCTCCGTCATCACCCACAGCTGCACTTCGTTGCAGCGCTGCAGCAGCAGCTCCAGTGCTGTGGTGTGGTCATGGCAAACATGTCGGCTGAAGGTGAAGTACACCAGTTCCTGCTGTAAAAAACAACCACAAAAAGAACAGTGTATGCAGCAAGCTGAAGGGCAGAGGTATGTCACCCGAGACAAGAAGACAAGATTTTTAGAGGCAGATGTTTAGGGCTAAATGTTCAAAGTGAGGCGAACCTCATGCATGGAGTTAAAAATGGTCCAGTCAAAGCTGGTGAGTGCCACGGCCACGTCCCATGTGGTTAAACTCAGCAAACGTGCCGTCCTCTCCTGCAGCTCCGAGCTGTCTGTCAACGGGTTCTGAGAGAAAAACACACACAATCAGCTTCTCTTTTAACTTAATGCCATAAAGATTCACACACAAACAATAAACTACTTTCAGTGCTGACACATTCTTACCATAGGAAGCTTTTTAAAAGCTCAACATCTCCCTGTAAAATGTGTGAGCGCTGAATTCAAATGTCATAAATAAATTAATATTTTCAGCTTTTCAGTGCGGTTTCTCTAAAGGCCATTTGAGCTTCAGATCATTTTGTTCAAAAATATATTTTAGCAACATTTAGAATATGATAACTTTTACTGCTCTATTTATTTTATTTTTGTCTATAAGGAAAATGATCACAAAACACTTGGCTAAATCAAACAAAACTTAGTGCTCGCAGTGAGAGCACTGGCAGATGGAGAGTCTAATATAATTTCAAAACGATCAGCCTCACTTTCATTAAATTGTTAAAGACACTGATAGAAGATGTGTCTTTTTATCTCTTTTGTTAAATTGTCCAGGTGTGAGTGAGAGTGGGAATGGTTGTTTGTCTCTATGTGTCCCTAGGATTGACTGGAGACGCTGGAAAGGTGTCCAGGGTGTCCCCCGCCTCTCGCACAGTGACTTCTAGATATAGGCACCAGTGGCCCTTACAACCTTGGATGGATGGATGGATGGATGGATGGATGGATGGATGGATGGATGG